GCTGACCAAAGTACTTTACATGGCAAAATAAAATAACAATAAATAACTAAAATAAAGTTAATAAAATCACTGCAAATAAAGATAAAACAGCACAATAACACACACACATAATATACATTCAATAAATTAAAATTAAGTTAAAAGGAGTTAAAAGGAATGCATCAAGCCCTACTGTGTATTAAAACCCAAGCCAAATACATAGGTTTTAAGCAAGGATTTAAAAGTACTGAGGTCAGTACCTGACCTAACAATAAAAGGTAGACTATTCCATAACTTAGGGGCTGCAACAGTAAAAGCACGGTCACCCCAGCGTTTATATCTGGCCCTAGGAACCTCTAAAAGAAACTGGCTTGAAGATCTGAGGGACCTAGCAGGTTTGTGTCAGTAGTTCAGTTCAGTTAGGTAAAATGGAGCCAAACCATTAAGAACCTTAAAAACAAAAATCAATAACTTAAAATCAATTCTAAAATGGACTGGAAGCCAGTGGAGAGAAGCCAGTACCGGGGCTATATGCTCAAATTTCCTGGTACTTGTCAAAAGACAAGCAGCAGCGTGTTGCACCATTTGGAGACGAGTGAGGGACTATACTCCCTGGACAGGTCGCCAATCCATCGCAGGGCTAACACATAAACAACAACCACGCACATGCACTCCTATGGGCAATTTAGAGACACCAATCAACCTAAGCTGCATGTCTTTGGACTGTGGGAGGAAGCCGGAGTACCCAGAGAGAACCCACGCAAGCACGGGGAGAACATGCAAACTCCACACATAAAGGTCCCAGGTGGGGCCCGAACCTGGTTCTCACTGTGAGGCAACGGCGCTAACCACTGTGCCACCGTGCTGCCCAGTACTGGGGTTATATGCTTGAATTTCCTAGTACTTGTCAAAAGACGAGCAGCAGCATTTTGCACCATTTGGAGATGAGTGAGGGAAGACTGGTTAACACCGTAGTACAGAGCATTGCAATAATCAAGTCTAGAAGTGCTAAAAGCATGAACTGCAATCTCAAAATAAATAAAAGAAAGGAATGACTTGACCTTGCTTAACAGCCTCAGATGGAAGAAGCTAGATTTCACAACTGAGTTGATTTGCTTGTCAAACCTCAAGTCGTCACCCCTGGACTTTTTACAGTGGACTTCAGGTGTCGAGCTAGGGGGCCCGGGCCCTGGTTAGAAGCAGTTAGGCTCGCCAGGTTGCCAAATAGCACACACTCAGTCTTATTTTTGTTGAGATTTAAAAAGTTAAGTGCCAACCATGATTTCAAGTCTGTCAGACAGTCAAACAATGGTTGTAATGACATCCCTCTTGTTGCCTTCAATGGTAAGTAAATCTGAATGTCATCAGCATAACAATGAAAAGAAAGGCCATATTTCCTTAAAATTGATCCCAATGGGAGCCTGTACAAAGAGAACAAAATGGGACCAAGCACAGATCCTTGGGGGACATCACATGAAAGGATATTTGAGGATGATGAACAGGTACCAATATTAACAATAAAACTTCTATTGGTGAGATAAGATCTGGACCAGTTAAGAACAGTACCTTGAATTCCTATGCACTGCTCCAAACGAGATAAGAGGATTCCATGATCCACTGTATCAAAGGAAGCAGTGAGATCTAAAAGCACCAATAAAACTGAATCCTCGGCATCCCTAGCCAGCAGGATGTCATTACTGATTTTTAATACCGCAGACTCAGTACTATGTTTTGATTTAAAACCAAACTGAAATTGCTCAATGCCATTATCTGTTAAAAAAAGACTGAAGTTGGATAAAAACAATCTTCTCCAGAACTTTAGACATAAAAGATCATTTAGACACTGGTCTAAAATTAGAGAACACTAAAGGACCAAGATTTGGTTTTTTGAGAAGAGGCTGGACAATTGCTCTTTTAAAAGCATCTGGAACTGAGCCTGTCCTTAAACATAAATTAATCAGAGCCAAAATAAAGGTGATTCTGATTTAATGGCTAGATTTCATAGTTCTTGTCAATCCAGTTTCCAGCAGTAGGGAAGCTGTTTTCTGCAGGCTTTGGAACAGAGAGACTGGTAATGGTAAGATAAGATCAACCTTTATTAGTCCAGCAACAGGGAAATTCACATAGCTAAAGCTGCAGAGGGATAGAAACAAGGCACTCAGTGGTGAGACTGAAAAGTAGCAGATGAGGTATTCTCAATTCTCTGTAGTGTTTAAAAGCATCTGGAACTGAGCCTGTCCTTAAACATAAATTAATCAGAGCCATAAAGCTAGGCCCAACAGAGTCAAAAAACATCTTTAAACAGTCTAGCTGGCAAACAATCCAAAGAACAGTGAGATGCTTTCATGTGGTGAACCAGTTCAGATAGCAGAGGTAAGGATACAGACTCAAACTGATCAAAGACAGCAGAATGCAGAGGAATATCAGCTGGGTCAGGATTAGTCGAACAGGAGGACTGCCTAATGCTAGTGATTTTACCAGTAAAATATTGAAGAAAACCCTCACGTACTGCTACAGATGGCTCGGGATGAGAAGCAAGGTTACACGGGTTGATAACCGAGTTAATTGTACTAAACAAGACCTGAGGTTTATGATGATTACTGGTGACAATGTTGAAAAAAGGTAGCTCGATTTGGCAGATTTTACAGCCTTCTGATAGTCAGAGAGACAATCCCAGAAATGATGGAGAGAAGCGTGAAGTTTATCCTTCTTCCATTTGCGTTTAGCTTGCCGACATCTTTGTCTAAGTGCCCGAGTAGAATCATTTAGCCAGGGCGCTGCTTGCATCTTGGCTGGTCTGCGTCGAAGAAAAGCTCTTCTTTCACATTGTATATGTACAGTGTATCACAGAACTGAGTACACCCCCTCACATTTTGTAAATATTTAAGTATATCTTTTCATGTGACAACACTGAAGAAATGACACTTGGCTACAATGTAAAGTAGTGAGTATACAGCTTATATAACAGTATAAATGTGCTGTCCCCTCAAAATAACGCGAGCCACTGAGCTGCAGCACAGTGGCCAAGACCATACAGCGGTTTAACAGGACAGGTTCCACTCAGAACAGGCCTTGCCATGGTCGACCAAAGACGTTGAAAGCCCGTGCTCAGTGCCATATCCAGAGGTTGGCTTTGGGAAATAGACATACAGTATGAGTGCTGCCAGCATTGCTGCAGAGGTTGAAGGAGTGGGGGGGTCAGCCTGTCAATGCTCAGACCATACGCCAACACGCTGCATCAAATTGGTCTGCAAGGCTGTTGTCCCAGAAGGAAGCCTTTTCTAAAGATGATGCATAAGAAAGCCCACAAATGGTTTGCTGCAGACAAGCAGACTAAGGACATGGATTTTTGGAACCATGTCCTGTGGTCTGATAAGACCAAGATAAACTTATTTGGTTCAGATGGTGTCAAGTGTGTGTGGTGGCAACCAGGTGAGGAGTACAAAGACAAGTGTGTCTTGCCGACAGTCAATCATGGTGGTGGGAATGTCATGGTCTGGGGCTGCATGAGTGCTGCCGGCACTGGGGAGCTACAGTTCATTGAGGGAACCATGAATGCCAACATGCACTGTGACATACTGAAGCAGAGCATGATCCCCTCCCTATCGGAGACTGGCTGCAGGGTAGTATTGCTAAAGAAGCTGAGAGTAAAGGTGATGGACTGGCCAAGCATGTCTCCAGACCTAAACCCTATTGAGCATCTGTGGGGCATCCTGAAATGGAAGGTGGAGGTGCACAGGGTCTCTAACATCCACCAGCTCCGTGACGTTGTCATGGAGGAGTGGAAGAGGACTCCAGTGGCAACCTGTGAAGCTCTGGTGAATTCTATGCCCAAGAGGGTTAAGACAGTGCTGGAAAATAATGGTGGCCACACAAAATATTGACACTTTGGCCATTATCACTTAGGGGTGTACTCACTTTTGTTGCCAGCAGTTTAGACATTAATGGCTGTGTGTTGTGTTATTTTGAGGGGACAGCACATTTACACGATCATACAAGCTGTATACTCACTACTTTATATTGTAGCCAAGTGTCATTTCTTCAGTGTTGTCACATGAAAAGATATACTTAAATATTTACAAAATGTGAGGGCTGTGTACTCACTTCTATGATATAAAATAAAGGTGATTCTGATTTAATGGCTAGATTTCACAGTTCTTGTCAATCCAGTTTCCAGCAGTAGGGAAACTGTTTTCTGCAGGCTTTGGAACAGAGAGACTGGTAATGGTAAGATAAGATCAACCTTTATTAGTCCAGCAACAGGGAAATTCACATAGCTAAAGCTGCAGAGGGATAGAAACAAGGCACTCAGTGGTAAGACTGAAAAGTAGCAGATGAGGTATTCTCAATTCTCTGTAGTGGATGGGGTAAAGTGGTGGTGGGGGGGTGGGGGGCAATGCTAGGAAGGATCTGTGGTAGTGCTCCGTCATGCACTTGGGGTGAATCAATCTATTCCTGTCTGCTGTCAAGATGCTGCTGCCCCAGCTGACCACTCCATAGAAGATGGCTGATGCCACTACTGTGTCAAAGAAGAAAAGATGTGAAAAGATGTTTGTAGCAGTAGGCAAACCAGTCAAGTAAAAGGTTATAGTAAACTTACATTTGTCAGGAGCCAGAAATACAATAATAATGCTCCATGTTACTATAAGGCATAAGGTTGTCAGTTCTAGGTATGTCAGCTTTTGTCAGGTTTGCCTGGCTGCACCTGCCTCTCTCACCTCCCTCTCTTTGTTTTATTGCCTGGTCCCTGATCACATCACCTTGCACACCTGCAACTCGTTTCCTTAATTGACACCAGCTGCTTTCACTCAGTCCTTCACATTATTTATACCAAACTCATTTTTCACTCCCTTGCCAGTTCGTTCTTGTTTTCTGCCCGACTACCAGCGCTATTCCTCTCTTGCCTTCATCGGTTTTGTTTTGTATTCAGTCTGGTTGCCCTGACCTTTCTCCTCGGTCATTCTCCACAGACCGTTACTCCGGACCATTACCCTCACCACCCTTCCAGCCTACACCAGCCAGGTACACAGTCCTTGGACTCCATCTACTCACCATCTCTGTCTACTCTGTTCTCCCCAGCCATCTATCACCCACCGGCCAGACCGGGAGTAACCCTAGTGTCCGTAGCTCAGCCTTCCTCATCATATCCAACCCTTCATCTGTTGTTTTTCCTGCTAGCTGATCATTGCCTGGTCCTACATTACATAGTTGGTTTACCTTTACACATCACTGTTTATATTGCACAGCACTATTAAATCACTTGCACTGAAGTCAGCCCTCTGGGTCTGTCTTTCATCACTCACTCACTCTCTGACGAGTGAGTGAATCTAACAGATTTTGCATTTTTAAAATAACAAGACCGTACAAAAGTTAGAAAAATGTCAGTCCCGTCATTCTTGTGAGATGTGCTCATCAAGGATCTGTCACTCTACTGCTGTGCAGTTGTATTTGGCTGGCTGCTCACCCCCATGATTTACATTAAGAATAAAGTTTAAATTGGCTCTGAAGCCTATAGCTCATCAGTGGTAGGAAACAATTGAATTCTATTTCCATGACAGAAGCAGGAAAGGTACTCCCGCACTTGCAACATTAGAGTAGGTGCAGCAAGTGTCAAGCTTTGTCACCACATATATTTAACAGTTTTGTGCTGTTAGACCAATTGCTTTTCTAGACCACATTTCAGATGGGGATCATGTATACTGTGCCACATAAGATACATGTGAGCTGGAAGGAATCTGTGTACCAGTAACATGTCTTTATAATAGCAGGGATCGTATCCATCTACTTTGCTAGAGGGAACATCCAGCCCTAAAGTCTTCACACCGATATGGGAAGCAGGAGCAAGTCCTGCTTTGGCCAGACACATCCCCATGTAAGCATCGTCAATGGGATGAATGGTAGAGGAGAGGGACATATTGTATATAACCAAAGCTGTATATCCAGACAATAGGAAGCCGCCACCACCACAGTACGGGGGGTATGACTCTGACTCCTGCACCTGAACTGGGATAAAATACTTGCTCTGTGACCATCTAACGGGCTTCGTATTCTCAATCAGTTGGCCAGTAAAGAGGTGCTTGCTTCCATCATTGTCCATGAGGCCTTTGAGATACTCAACCATGTTGTCTGTGTTGGCAAAGACGTCGTCATCTCCGTTTAGCAGGAAACGAGCTTTTGGGCAGTTTCTTTCCATCCATTCCAGGAAGAGTATCTGTTTCAAGGTGAGGTTGTAGAAGGAGTCACTGAAGTCCCACTGCAGGATGTCATTGTACTCGCGCTGCTCCAGTTCAAGTAGTTTGTTGAGTCTTTTTTTCTCATAACCAGAATCCATCGTTCCTGAGATGAAGAGCCTTCGGATCCATATGCCATTGTGTAACCTCTCTTTAGCCCAGGTTTTACGCAGCACTTCTCGGCGGTCGTAGTTCACAGGGGAGCTTTTAATGACCAGAAGAAGGAAGACTTCTGCAGATCTATCAGCTCCCCCACATTTGTCAGGAATGTCCAGCAGCATGGGGAAATGGCGACAATGTTGATAGTAGAGAAAGTCCTGTATATGACCAGGAAGCTTGTTGAAGTCTGTGATGTTGGCAGCAGACATATTTTGTTGACAGTTTGGCCAGGAGTATACATAGGAGTTATTTGTGGTGGTTTGCCTTATTTTACTGTCATTTTCTCTTACATCTAAGTAGAGGTGACCTGTTTTGTGGTCACTAAAATCTTTACAGAGATAGAGGACCAATAGAAAAGCTCCCACCAGCAAGAAAGTTCTTGCTGTGATGATTCTCATTGTTGAAACTCTGCAGTGACAAAAAAAAGCAGAGTTTACTTATCAACACATCTCAGTCAGATCACAAAAAATTAAAGATTCATTTCTCTAGGCAAATTAAGGTGCATATTCCAAAAGTTAGTTCTATTTTCCCTATTTCACCTTGCAGGTCACAGAAGTCTGTTACTTGACTGACCCTTGCATGACTGAGAGGTTTCCTCAAAACTATTTCTGTCAGTTGGTTATCTGGTGGCCACGTGATAAGGCACGCACAGCAATGTGCATGATTTGACTCCAAGCTGAACAACCATTCCCCCTCTATACTGTAAAAAAAAAAAGTCAATGGCAAAATAAAGACATAAAACATTTTATTGTCTGTGAATGGTTTTAGAATTTTGTCTGCTGTTCACTTTTTCCCGTCACTTCCCTTTTCCCATGCTGACAAAATCCTGCTCACCTATTAACTGTGATCACCTCACAAGCTTATCAGTTTGCAGAGTCAGTGCTTTAAATGTCAGTCTGTTTCCTCATCTTGCCTTTCAGTTCTACAATCACACAAACTTCCTCCACCCAATCTGGCTGGACAGCCCAGGCATATCAGGGTCCCTCCTCCACCACCACCTTCTTGTTATCTATCTGCACCAGGCTTCCACTTTCAAGCAGCACTGGTCCTCAGGGTCTAGCCACCAAATACTACTGTGTTCAACTTAAACATTCTTTTGCATTCTTTATCTGATCTCTCCTTATAGAAATTATGTTAATTCCTATAACAAACCTCCAAACTCCTGTATTCCCTTCAGGCTTGAATTTCTGTGAGCTTGATGTTCCTTTACTTTCACTTCCTCTTAGTGTGCTTAGGAACTATAACTGAATATGGATGAAGATTTGCTTTTCATTTCCAAGCAGCTTTTCACAGTCAAAGAAAGGAGATCCTGTTTTTGTTCCCAGTGAGTTGAAAAGAATTCACTGCTTTGTATTCCTGTGGTTTCTGCTGTAATTCTTGAGTCATGTGAGGTTGCACAACAAAACAATACAGCTATAAAAAAAGGATAATGCAATGAATACAATTGTTTTTTTTTCTATTTATTTTGTTATGTAAATCCTGGAACATTTTAGATGGCAGCAAAGTAGTTTTTTTTTATTTCTTTATTTTGTATTTGTTTATTTGACAGGAACAATGCACAATACAATAATTGTATCAGATACAGCTAAAAGACCCTTATTGGCCACTTTTATTAAGCCCCCCCAACCCCATATAAACAAACTGACAAGCAGCCATGCACCACCCTCCAAGCTGATCATTATCAAATGGATTCCTAAGTAACAAAATAGCCATTAATTATTATTGCCAGTTCTAGTATCATGGTAAACAAGTGGTGGTGCCATTTTCCAGGAGAGGCTTGTGCTCCACCAGAGAGGATGAAGGAGGATTTAGTATTTCAAAATGTTTGGTTTGACTGCTAGGTACAATTAAACTCAGACGCTCAGTGTTTCATATTAGACAGGAGACAGTGTTTAACACTGTACTGTCTCTTTGTTACTTGCTAAAATGTTTAAAAATGTCAAACTACAATGTAATATGAGTGATGAGTCAGCCCAAGATATAAGCGAACTAAGCACCTGCTTAGTATTACATTTGTAGATAATATTATTCCACTAGAAAAGACAGAGATATAAGGAGTCTTTTTGTTTTGTTTTGTTTTGCTTGTGGATCAACAATATCCTGACCCTCTCATGAATTGAGCTGGGGAGGACAAAATTATAGCGACACCTCTAAATATAATGTCGTCCAGTATAACACCATTTTAACCTAAGACCTCAACAATAAACATACAATTGAATTTATATACTTATGTCGATTTCACCAAAACAAACATTTTGAGCTTCATAAGCAGGTGACGTTGTTGAAATGTTGCATTGAACTGCATACAATTGTACCTAACAAAGTCTCCGGTTAAGATCGAATATAAACGCTTTAATTTAATTCTGACCATGTCTGAGACACGTATCTTAATTTTACCGAATAATATCAATTGTTTACGACGAAAATAAAAACATAGGCCTACAGCCTACTGTAAAACTGGAATAGGCAATTTCTCTATACTTTCAAACGGAAATGCGAGTTTATTAGCTCGGTTTGGATATTGTCTGTGTGTACTTGCCGGTAAAAGACAAACATCCTTTCCGTCTTGATGAGCAGTATGCCAGCCGGTAAAACCCAGGCGATCTCTGTGCAACCTGCTGCTCAGCACCTGTGCTTCCACACCCGCTGCTTCAGGAGCCCCACCTACAAAGGGATTACTAGTATTTGGTAATACTTGCTGCGTAGGTGTACATTTACTGACCCTATAACTTATGACATATGATGCAATAAATACAAAACGTACATAAAACAGTTAAAATGGGCAGCTGCAAAAAACTCAGAAGAAAGCATCTGGACGTAGTTTTAGGTAGAAGACGTTTTACCTGATGCAATAGGCTTCATCGGTTTTGCCTGACTGGTGGCAAACAGGAGGGATTTATCCCACTGGGTGGGGTTTCGGTCCTGTGATGGTAATAATAAAATGTTTCACTCGTTCAGCCTTCATTAACCTATGTAACATTATATGGGCCATTCTTTCTCCATAATGACTATAGTTTTGATACTTTAACATTTTATTGATAATACTTTTACTCAAGTGAAATTTTTAATACAAGACTTTTACTTTATTTTGTAATTAAGAGTATTTTAGACCATGGTGGTGGCATTTTTACTTGAATGAAGGATCCTTTACTTTTCTTAGTATTACTTGCACATTGTGTCAGCTGAAAATAGCCAGTTTCATTCATTCATAAAACAGTAAACATTCATTGGACAGTCCAATGAGAGCCATTTCACTCTCTTTTATGTGGTGTGTATCTAAGAACATACAGGACATTCAGGGACATGTCCGGACATTAAGCCTAGGAAGATATTATGATTAAGATTACGGCTAAACATATCATAATAATAATAATAATAATAATAATCATCATCATCATCATCATCATCCTGCCTGCTGACAATCAAACTTTTCTATCTAGTTATCCTTGCCCATGTACACCCTGCTAAAATCTCATGACAATGACTAAGTGTTCAAACTAGACATCCTGTCTCCACTAAACATTTCTAATACAACAAGTATCTAACCAATTTCTATCTGACTAAAAAAATACCTAAAGGTATCTTACAGAACAAGTAAGACTATTGACACAACTAATATCATTTGACTAAAATTAGAAACATTTTGTACTGTTGGACACCTGTAATTGTTTGCCTGATAAGGATTTATTTAACTAATTATTAGATGTATTTACAATAAAGTGTGGTACTTTTTTTTAAGTGTAAAGACGTGTGCTTGTGTTTTTGATTGTGTAAGGTGGTGAGTGGGTGAAAATGTGTGAAAACATTTTGTGCTGTTGTCTTTGTTCTGCTGGGTCTGGGTGTGGAGTCACACCTGACATCAGTTTGAGGTCAGAGTACAAATTTTAAATACCTGATGAAAGCTTAAGTCACAGAATGACGATGATCTTACACATGACTTTGGATTGTTCAAATGTATTTATGAGCCACAACCAAGATGTTTCTGTCATATGATGATGAAAACATAGCTGTCAGTCAGTGAATGATGTCTGGTGTTTATGTTTAAATATCTTCATGTACAAAACAACGTGATTTTGAGTCTTCACACGTACAAAGATGTGTTGCAGCAAGTGTAAGGAGCAGACTCTTGTGCAACACCCACCAGCAATGTTCACAAGTCATTAAAATGCAAATCATGTCATCAGTTTACTTTAACAATACGCAATACGTTTCCTTCTCTTGTGCTTATTTGAAGTCAGATCATGTGTCAAATCATGTGTGAAGCACTTCACACATTCAGTTTAGCAACATGTTTCTACTTCTTTACATGAACTTGTTTTGTACAATTCAAGTCAAAGTTTGGAGTTCAAGTTAAGAATCAGTTTAGATTCAGCTTAGAGTGCATGTAATGTGAGTGTGCATTACAAACTTGGGGCTCTAATCCTGACACTCACCCTTTTTAACAGCACAGTAACCAGCTACTTGAATAGAACATACAAATAATGAGCTTAACATCATTAGTACCTTCAAATATTTCTTGATTAAAATGTTGATATAGGTTTTAGTGGTCACTGAAGGCAACACTGCATCTGTGCAAAGTCACATCCTCTTCCTTCTTTCTACCCAGATCCTGTTTGTATTGATGTCATATTGTCAATATAGAATAAAAAAGGAGAGAGAAAGGAACAAGGAGCTCAGTTGTCTTCTATGAATTTACTTCTACAGGGGCCCCACGTGAGTGCACACACTTACACGAAATAATCAGTGCTCCCTCCAAACCCTGAATGCGGAAATTTCACTTTCCTGTTCTTGAAGTCTGTTTTTCTTAGTGCAGCACGAGTATTGCCACTTCACCCCATTGCTGTACAACATACACATATAATCAGAAACGAGAAGCAAAGAGTGTCGATCTACAGCTTTAGCTAGACTGATAAAAAGAGGACTTTATCCTTACAAAGTGTAACAGTGAAACACAAGCTAGAAGTTGAGCTATTACAGAAATAGAAATACATTGTATGTATTGAATGTGGCCATATATCTATGTATGTTTAGCAGTTAATTCCCTTAACCAAGACACTTAGGTTTACACTCCCTATGTCTTGAGCAGGTGTATACTGAGTTACTCACCACCAGGCATATGGGATACTGCAGTTTCCCTCTTGGCTGAATGTAAGAGAACAGAGAAGTTGAAGATTCCCATAGCAGTAAGGAGAAAAACGCATGAGGCTTGCTGCTAACACTGACGCAGACACTCATGTTGTTTGAGTGATATGCCAGCTTTAAAATCGCTGGCAGTTGAAGAGAATAAATGAATAGTTAGTTCTTCACGTTGATGTGTTGGAAGCCGAAAAATGGGTGAGCGTAAGGATCTGAAAGACAAGTTGTGTTGGTTAGACGAGTAGGTAAGAGCATCTCCAAACCACAGGTCCTGTGGGGTGTTCCTGGGCTGCAGTGGTCATTACCTACCAAAAGTGGTCCAAGGAAGATCAACTAGTGAACCTGCCATAGAGTCATGGGTGCCCAAAGTTCACTGATGCACATAAGTAGCAAAGGCTAGACCCTCTAATGCTAATACAGGGCATTAGAGGACACCTTAAGAGAGCTTGTGAAGTCTATACCTCGACAGGTCAGAGCTGCTTTAGGAGCATGAGTGGGACCTCTACAACATTAGGCAGGTGGTTTTAATGTTTGTGGTTGAATTATTATACTGTATTTAACAATCAGGAAATAAACTGAGATACCTAATGAATAATGTCTCCTTTGCATTAATGCATGTGTTTATTTCTGTATGTTTTTGGTGATTCTGGACAGAATCCACTGGGTGGCCCCTGAGGTGCTGGAGGCTCCAGACAAGCTGACACCTCAGTGTGGTAAGTGGATCTTTGGTGTCACCTTGTGGGAACTCCGCAACAATGAGAATGCTCCACTGCAAGGCTGGGACCTGGACCAGGAACTACCACTTTTCTACTGACAAGTCAAAGTGTAACCTGAACACAAAACAGACAGGGTAACATGTAGCTTGAGTACTGCACAATAAGCTGCTTTTTACTTCCAAATTACTTTGATGTAATTAAACATTTCTGCTATTGTTAAAAAAAAATGTATTGGGAAATGTAATGTGTTCATGGATTAGACATGGAAAGTGAAATCAAATCATCCATCTGATTACCTTGATCATAATCATCAAGTTCACTGTCTAGACTTTCAGGTAAACACATTAATGCTGGATTAACATGATGTTTCATAGATAGGAATTTTATTTGTTTAGTAGATTTTTTTCTGTGGATAAATGGTCATTGTTGACTTCTATTATTCAGTGAGGCTGTATATACTGTACATTCAAATCTATCTACTGTATTAGGATACAGACAGTTCTCAGATAGTTCTGAGCATTAGGTCATTGATTTTATTGATTTAATTCTTGAAGTACAAAGTGACACAAAAACTTTTCATAAGAAATGCAGCCCATCTACTATGTCATAAAGAAGAATAATCTAATATGCCACCAACCTTTAATTAATCACTTTAATTCACCACCTTGGGAGCGTGCTTGCTGACATCCATTCATTCAAACAGCAGGTAACCCAGCATGTACTGGTGCCACCTGTACACCCATCTGGTGCACACTGGATACATGTTATGAACAACTAATTCAAGTAATGGTGGATTCCTCATACGGGGACCAACATTTACTGAGGATCATGTCCAGTGGGGTGTGTGGCAACTCTTTGTGTAGCGACGCAGAGCAGCAGAATGTGCACTTAGCTCAAAGTTGTGAAAACCCAGAGGAGCTGTGGGACGACAGTGGACCGGTCACACTGAGAATGAATAAACAGAGGTCACCAGATTGGGGTGTAGCTTATAAGGTGAGTTCACTTACTGATTATCAACTCTCTAGTGAAACCGTTGCCTAGCAGCATATCATTATGAGTGTTAGAATTGACTGGAAGGTGATGCGAGTAACATTGTTGTCTTGTTACAATGGCACCTGTCAATGGGTGGGATATAGTGAGCAGTCACTTCTTGAAATTGATATGTTGGAAGTAAGAAAAACGGCCAAGTGTAAGAATCTGAGAGATTGTTGACGATGATGGTTAGAAGATTAGGTCAGAACATCTCCAATACGACGGGTGTTATGGGGTGTTCCCGGTAAAAGTGGTCCGAGGAAGGACAACTGGTGACCCGGCGATAGGGTGATGGGTGTCCAAGGCTCATTGATGCACAGGGGAAGCGATGCTAACCTGTCTGGTTCGCCCTCACAGGAGCTGTAGGACACATTGCTGGTAAAATAGAACAATAGCAATAGGCTGCACAAAACACAGAGTTTTGTTCAAACTGTGAATGAAAAGGTATGGACAAAACAGACTGCACAGCCTACAGAGGAAATCGGAGATGCATGAACTCTGAAGCTAGCATTTCAGGTAAAGCTGTTGTAAGTTATATGTCCCTTGGGTGTCACACAAGCATCAGGCGCTGATGTCACTTGTAAATATTAAGCCTGTTTAAAGAAACCTTTATGACAGCACCTGGCAATGACTGACAGATTTTCGTCTGTGCATTAATGTGAACTAACCCATTTTTATCATAGAAGTACTATTAATGCCATTTATTCCTTAAACGATTCCCTGAATGCTTTAGCTCTTGTGGGAAGGCGTTTTTGTTTAAGAAGCTAAAAGTTGTAAAAAGTTCAGTTTACTCCACAGGTAATTTTTTAAAGATATTAATACTTTACTAATATTGATAACAAAGTTGCTGTAATTTCATGTCACTGTGTAATTTCATACAGCAGTAATATAAATCGAACGCAAGAGGGCGCCACAGTTCCTTATTCCAAACATACTTGACACATCCCTACTGTTCCTGCTGTAAATAGAAAGTAGCCCCAATAAGTCGTGATTACATTTTAACTTAAACTTAATTAAAACTGTGAGTGGTCTGATGAA